CCGTCTCTACTAAAAATACAAAAAAATTAGCTGGGCATGGTGGTACATGCCTGTAATCCCAGCTACTCAGGAGGCTGAGGCAGGAGAATTGCCTGAACCCAGGAGGTGGAGGTTGCGGTGAGCCGAGATAGCGCCATTGCACTCCAGCCTGGGTAACAAGAGCGGAACTCCGTTTCAAAATAAATAAATAAATAAATAAATAAATAAATAAATAAATAAATAAATAAAATGGGGTAGAAAATATAAGAAGCAATCACTCTAGTAAGAGAAAAGTCATTTCAGTAATCTTTTGTTTCAATCACATATCTGTGTACATCTTACTAGATGATGATATAACTGGATGATGTATCTTATAAACTTCCAAAGCTTTTACATGAGACCACCTATTGGCATCACCCTCTAGAAAAATCTAGGTAACAAATAATTGCAGTGTTTCTGCATAGTAGCCAAAGCTCATACACGCATACGAAACCCAGTGTTTCTTAGCATGTCCCATGAAAAACCCAGTTTAGAATGTCTTGAGGTGCAAAGTCTCACTTCAGAACTACTTCATGACAGTCCCTAGAGTTCATCTTGGCCATCTTCAGCTGTAAGAAGCACCTCTGGGGTTTTCCTTATGCAAAGTCTGAGATATTACCTGTCTACCCCTGTAGTCCTGGACTCTCTCCCTTTTCCCTTTTTTGTCTACCTGCAGGAAGTCATAATGATCCTATATTATATCCCACCATCCACTAGGCTAGCAAAGGCCACCCTACAGTGCATACTTCTGAACTAAGCATCATGCCCAGGAGACATGATGCTTGCACAATGCCTGCATCTGGCTATGTGGGCTGACCACAGGATCTGATAACTCTGCAGTATATCTATGCAAATAATACTTGAAATAAATGTTCAGGAGTGTGACTGACAGCTTGAAGTCTTTCTACCTTTTAGGAATTGCATAACATCCTTCACCCATACCATTTTGCTGCGAGCAGAATCTGATAAGTTTCTGCATTCTCTGGTACCTGGGTAAGACAAGCTCTCAGCATGGGCATGACATGATGAAGCTATGGTTATCCAGACCCCAATGTTTACCCAGGACAGCATGTGCCTGTCAGCCCAAACCTGTGAAAATCATGACAAATAGCCCACATCTTACCTGAATTCTGACAGACATATAAATAGTTGCTTAAAGGACTTTTAGTGGCTATGATCCATCCCCAGACAGAAAATTATTTATTCTTTGCATTAATACTTGCTGCTGCTGTACATGTATATCTCCTATAGCTTCCCTTGGAAATCAATTTCAATAATATATCTCTGTAAATTAAATGTATATGTGTGTAAAGTAAACATACACACATACATACATATATACACAAACACATACACACATATGTATTTACTTTACACACATATATATACATACACATACACATACAACACCAAACTATATTTTTTTAGTTTACTTTTCTCTGATGAAAATATTAAAATACCAATGAACAGTATACTTCACATCAATGCGTCAAGTACAGACATGCATGATATAGTGACAGGGATATGTTCTGAGAAATGTATCATTAAGCAATTTCACCATTGTGCAAACATCATAGAGTACACTTACACAAGCCTAGATTCTGCAGCCTACTACACACCCAGGCTATATGGTAGAGCCTATTACTGCTAGGCTACAACCCTGCACAGCTTGTGACTATACTGAGTACTGTAGGCAACTGCAATGCAATGGCAAGTATTTGTATATCTAGACATATGTACACATAAAAAAGGTACAGGAAAAACACAGTAGAAAAGATACCAATGTAGCCAGGTGCAGTGGCTCACACCTGTAATCCCAGCACTTCAGGAGGCCGAGTCAGGTGGGTCATTTGAGGTGAGGAGTTCGAGACCAGCCTGGCCAACATGGTGAAACCCTGCCTCTACTAAAAATACAAAAATTAGCTGGGCATGGTGGTGGGCACCTGTAATCCAAGCTACCTGGGAGGCTGAGGCAGGAGAATTGCTTGAACCCGGGAGGTGGAGATTGCAGTGAGCTGAGATCATGCCACTGCACTCCAGCCTGGGCAATAGAGTGATACTCAGTCTCAAAAAAAAAAAGATACAAACATACACCTGTATAGGGCAGCTCCATTATAACCTCATGGGACCACTGTCATATATGCGGTCCATTGTTGACCAAAATGTCATTATGTAGAGCATGTCTGCAATCCAAATTTTATAACAAATTAGTCCCTTTAGTTTATACTTATCTATAAATTTGTGCAAATTCCTTCAACCTCTACTCACGTAGCTGTAATATCAAATAATTCTTTTTTAAAATTCCAAGGCTCGTGTTGATTTTTATCCTTGTGTGCCTACCTTTTGTACTTACAAATGCCTGTTAAATATTAATTTGCCTAGAGTCTGCACTAAGTAGATGTTTGCTCACATGTTCTTTCATTCTTTTGTTGCAGAGTCTGCCCTTTCTCTCCAGCTGTTCATGAGCTTTCCATGGGGCTTTTTTAAATGTCAGCAGTTTCCAAATACAGTCCTCTGTTCCAGGTTAACCCAAGTACGGCAACTTTTATGCCTCTGACATACTTAGCTTCTCATAAAATTTCATCTGAAGTATTCCTCAGCTTTAAAGCAAATTTGAAAATCACTGTTTGCAGTGGGAAAATCACTGCTATGTGTTCAGTAAGGCCAGTTTCATTTTCTTCTTCCTGAACATATGCGGAGACTGCCTCCCAGCACCATGTCAAGTCAGGGTGGAGATGTAGACGTAGAGCCTGTCCTACATGCTGACCCCTGGGTGGAAGTGATAAGCATCCCTTCCACAGTGAAGTAAGGAAAAGCCTCCAGGTGACCCTTCAACTCTTTTCTCCTGTGGATGCTATTGGGAAGGCCATCTATTGAGATGACAGAGCCAGAAGATATTAGCAACCTGGATCCCTGAGTCTCCTCATGGAGCAAAGCTTCCCTAGAGAATCACCCAACCAGCAAGAGATTTTGCATGGCCAAGAAACAAACTTTCAAGTGTTAATACACTGAGATTTTGTCAGTCTTCACTGACAAACACAGAAACTAGCCACAGACATGGGATGCTAACCAAAATAAAAACTTACATGGTGTGGTGCTCTCTCAGCAGTTGGGTGGCTAGTACATAAAGCACTCTCCAGAGTCAAGTCCCTGAGGCTAAAACTGAGAATAGTTATAATGACCAATGACCAGTTTATATATTTCACAGTTAAAAAATAATTTTAATTAATAAAATCTATTGAAACTGATAGGTGATGTGAACTGTAAGAACTAATCATTCTACTTTTGTCTCATTTTTAGAGGGAGGAAGTAATACTATCAATTGCGATTTTTGTGTAAGTCACTTCAGAGTCTGTTCAGACACCCAAACCATATGTGGGTTTCTGTTATAGTTGAGGAAACACTTATGTAATCCCAAAGAGGTATACTAAAACACACCCTATGATTTATCTATTGCATAATCAATGACGTTGTGGGTACCAGGACACTGTTGTACCTCCAGGTGAATGGGTTGCTCCTATGCTGCTTCATAACTGAAGAAGAAGTGAGGAGAACCACTGCCCACTCCCAACCTCCAGTAAAGCACAAACTCCATGCACACAAGATACGGACAGTGGAATACAACATCTTCCACATGAGGATATGACCAGTCCTAACTTGTGTAGTTTCCACATACCTTAACTATGTATTTTCTTCTTAGGCTGAGTATATTTACTTGTTTTTTAAATTAAATCCCTAATATACTTTCCCTTCATCATAATAACTTCCTTTTCATTGTCATTCATTGTTTAATCCAGAGATTAACTTTACAATTTTGTGTCATGCAATTAATTGGATGACAAACCAATATTACCTGTTTCCTCTCTCTCCTTTATAATCTTTAAATCACCCCCCAAACTCTCTTTTAAATCTTCCATAGAGTTTAACTAACCGCAAAGACCAAAGGTCTGATCTTCAGATGAAAAGTCTGATTTTCATTTCCCTTTAAAGTCCTGTCCTCCACGGTTATAAGTGGAACAAAATACTTTTATTTCCTTTTTTTGAATAGCAAATATTCTTGATACAGCCTCTAAATAATATCTACTTAATTATATCTATTTATACTCTCCATATTATGTATTATAATATAAGTATATATTAAACCTATCTATATAATTCAGGTGGTGGTTATTTCATTTACAGACTACAATCCCCAAAACTACGAACTCAATGGTACCCGACAGACCCAAAAGACGTCATTCACTTACAGAGGTTTTTTTTTTGTTTTGTTTGCTCAGAGATTGGCCCAAAATATTTTGAATCTTTGCACATCGTTTATATCACAAGGACAACCTCTAAATTAAACATAAACCATTATCTTGCCTCTCTTGATGGTCACATTTGCAGATTAAAGACCATCAGGGCCAGGCGTGGTGGCTCACACCTGTAATCTCAGCACTTTGGGAGGCTGAGGCAAGTTGATAACCTGAGGTCAGGAGTTCCAAGCAGCCTGGCCAAGTTGGTGAAACCCTGTCTCTACTAAAAATAGAAAAAAAAATAGCCAGGCATGGTGGCGGGTGCCTGTAATCCCAGCTACTCAGGAGGCAGAGGCAGAAGAATTGCTTCAACCTGGGAGCCACAGGTTGCAAGTGAGCTGAGATCGTGACACTTGCACTCCAGCCTGGGTGACACAGTGAGACTCCATCTTTAAAAAAAAAAAAAAAAAAAAAAAAGACCAGTGTGATATCTGACACCTCCTTTGTCATCAGCAGACATAATTTTGCTGTGGCCTTTCTACCCCAAGATGTGGAAAATGTTGGCAAAGAGACTCTAAGGAGAGCACACTGCATTGCAATCTTTCTAAGGCCACTAAACATGCGCTATGTCGAGCTCTGGCTGAAGAAATGTGAAGAAATAATAACCCTGCTGGTTCTTCCATCTCCATGAGAAATAACCCAGAATGTTTTTCAACAGGCAGCATCAGAAGACAAGGTAATACCTACCGCTGTATGAACTGGGCCGCCTCTGCCGTTAGCCTCTGGGTGAGATTGTCATAGGACATGGGTTGCTGGGTGATCTCGTAGTTCCTCATCATGAAGCAGTTCAAGGGTCGGAAGTAATGAAGGAAGCCCAGGAAAAGGGTCAGGATCAGAGCTGCCAGGAAGAGAAGGCTGAAAAAAACGCCTAGAGGCACGCGGAGCAGCCCCAGACAACTGAGTGCAGCGAGGGTAAGGAGGGTAATCCCGATGATCTGCAGAGGGATGAATACCACCTTCCTGAAGCCCCAGGTAAAGACACTGCCCTCTCCGGGCTTGCAGTCTCTCAGATTGGTCAAGGAGATTCCATAAAAATAGCTGAAGCCATGATGTAAAGGGTGGTGACAGAAGTCAGTCTTGCTATGACAGCTCATCCCAAGGTGCCATTTCCCTGAGAAGACAAATGGAAGATCACTTCAGTCCCAATAAACCCCCTGATTCCAACACAAGCTTCTGTTCCCACACACTGAAAAGATAGCTCTTTCTATTTTATGAAGCTAGCCATCCCGCTCACAGGACCCTAGAGTTTTTCACTTTTTTTCTTTCCCACAAACACTAAGTTATTACCTACTCACTCTACCAGACAATAAGAACTAATTTTGTGATTCCAACAAAACAAAAAAGAAAAATAAAGAAAAAACCAAACCAGATAAAACTCCTCTACTCACTCTACCAAAAAATAAGAACTACTTTAGTGATTCCAACAAAACAAAACAAAAACACAAAAACCCAACCAGATAAAACTCCAAAAAGAAAACTACCTAACATATTTAATAGGCAGGAAACAACACTCTACAGAAAAATACAAGTTTTTTTTTCTTTTTTCTTGTCAGATGCTTTTCTGAGACATACCCTTAAAATTAAAGTTTTAGAAGCAACTTAATTTTGTTCCTTGAATGTTAAAAGTGGAAATGAATCCTTACTTCAGAACCTACGCCTGAGGCATGAGGAAATCACACTCGTAACTCAGCAATTATTTTAAGCACCTCTGAAATTTCTTATAAAATGTTAATTAGATCACTAAATTAATGAGTGCCTCACAAAAGAAAAGATGATAGTTTTTTTAACAAGATGTTGGAAGAACGAGAAGGGTCATTTTGCTCTTCTGAGATTTGTTAGGATTCATTTTATGACCTGCTTAGATTCAAGCTCTTTGTGCAAACAAGAAGGCATTAATCCTATCTACAGAGTAAAATCAAGTGGGTGTGTCCAGCAAGACAAATTCTGACATAATTTTAGTATTGGAAAGTAAAATGAAAATCTTTATCAATAGCATGGTGTGTATTGTTTTGTATGTTCTATGTATATGTTCTGTGAATTTTTCATCTGTTGCATCTATCATCTATTTCATCCAATTATCTCATTATCTATCTATCAATCTATCCATCCATCCATACTGTCTGTGTCATCTTTGTCTCTCTCCCTGCATCTATTTATCCATGTCTGTCTATCTATCTATCTATCTAATTTTTCTATCTATGTATATATCTATGTAACTATCTCATTTTTCTATTTATCTATCTAGTTAGCTATCATCTATTTCATCCATCCAATCTATCTCACCTTTGTCTCTCTCTGCATCTATCATCTGTCTATCTACCTATTTCTCTACCTATTATGTATCTATCCATTCATCAATGCTTTCTATCTATCCATTCATCCATTCACCCATTCATTCATCTATCATTAGGTATAATCTAAGTATCTATTTATCTGCACACACACACACACACAAACACACAAACACACCCCTAATGCATTCGAGTAGTCAGATAGGCTCACTGTGTTTTAACCTACAAATGACATCATTTTGCTCCCATTTAAAGTAGTGCAAAGTGTACCAGCAATGCCATTCCTAAGATAATTGTCATGATGCCCTCTCCCACTCTTTTGCTAAATATGTCCAAGTCCTCCCTGTCATTCCTCAGATGCCCATACCTATCAGTGCTGTTGAATAACTTTGATCCTTCAGAAGCTTGGCAAAGGTAATCTCATTGGTGGGAAGTCCTCCTGAAGAGGCCGTGAAGAGGAAAACTCCAGGGAGGGACTGAGATGCCATTCCTGAACCAGAAAAAAAATCAACCCTTAGGAACCAGGAGATACCTGGAGGTGGGAGGCTGTCCCAAACGAGACCACAGCCCCTGCGATGCAGATAAGAGGTTACCTGATCGGACAGGGTACCGGCCAGTCATGAAGGCTGCCCTGCTTGGTGTGCATAGGGGTGATGCTGCCAGGTGCTGAGTGAGTTTCACTCCCTCACTGGCCAACCGGTCGATATTGGGAGTCCTAGAACAAAATAATCATAGCATTTGTGATCATTTTCATTTGTTGTTTGTTTATTTATTTTTGAGACAGGATCTCACTCTGTCACCCAGGCTGGAGTATAGTGGCGTGATCTTGGCTCACTGTAACCTCCACCTCCCACGTTCAAGTGATTTTCCTATCTCAGCCTTGTGAGTAGTTGGGACTACAGGCACAGGCCACCATGCCTGGCTAATTTTTGTAGTATCTGGTAGAGACAGGGTGCCACCATGTTGGCCAGGCTGGTCTCAAACCCCTGACCTCAAGTAATCTGCCCACCTCGGCCTCCCAAAGTGCTGGGATTACAGGCATGAGCCACCCAGCCCTGTGATAATTTTCAAAATGAAACTGTGTCTGTGGCTCTTTATAGTGGGAAACTTCTCAATGAGCAAGGACACGTCTGGGGTTATGTAGGACAGAGAGGTGAGATGAGAGGGGGGAAAAGTGATACAGGACTCAAACTACAACAAAACCATGGAGATGTGTGAACGATGCAGGCGGGACATCCCCAGAAGGTCCATTCATGCTACAGAGGGATCTGAGTTCCTGGTCCCACCATCCCTGAGTTAGAAGAGAGAAACCAAGTCTTCAAAATGTGATAATGCAGGGAGGAAAGGTAAGGGGTAGGTGAGGATGAGGCTTTACTCTTTTCCCATTCACATGTCCCAAATTACCTCTATGTCACCAGAAGAGAAATTTCCAGGGTCAGTCTGACTCCCTGCTTCCCAATTACAGCCAAAGGGAATCCCACAACCACCTTTAATAAGCCCCTGACTAATTTCTGTATGCCCCCAGGGACAGGGAATAATCAGACTGCATATGACTCAACCAGTGAACATCAACAAATAGGTAAATATGCTCCAGGGAAAAGGCACAAACACTACAGTGAAGAAATTAGATGCTGCAACTCCCACATACACTTTGTTGGCTTATGTTTTTTATGCTTCATAAATACTTATTTATGAGCTCACTTGTAGAGTGCTACCTTTTGCAAGATAAGCTACCCTGATGCCTTTTCTCCATGAATGGATTGGCTGATCATTTTGGGAAGTCATTTTGGAATTAATAATTTTTAGTTTTTGGACCATACCAAACTGTACCCCACAAGTTATATACCATGTCCTCCACCAGGAATTCAGGTCCCTTCTTCCCTTCCTGGCTCATCATCTGCCACCCTTCAGTTCCAGGTACAGATGGAATTCTCATGGGCCTCCAATGCCCTTCCTTGTTGATACAAGGGGACTGACCTATATTTAGGACAGTAGTCCATACTCCATCATCCCAGCAGCTTCCTCACTGTAAAGCAATCACATGGCTAATTGTACTCCCTTTCAAGATGGCTGCCTGTAGGGTGGGAGTATACATCTTCTTCATTGGTCCCATGGCTTCCCTAGACCAATGCCCTCAAAGAGCAGTGCTGCAATGATGCATAGCTTGAAGGGGGAAATAATTTCATTGCATCTGTAATGTCAAACTAGTGGCCATTTATTAACTTAGTGAACATGTTTAATTACCAATATTTCTACTTTGCTTTTTGCTTAAAGTGTGAGATGCAAATTCTTTGCATTTGAATTAAACCTCCTAGTATCTATATTGGCCTTTGAAATAATGTAATTATTTTGGGGTGTGATATTACAAAATATAAAAATGAGAAACATAATTCGAAAATAATGGGACTCTAATATAGAGACCAAGGCAGATCTAGGGTAGATATTGCCAGGAATTCATCCATGGGGCTTTATAGACAATTTTTCTTTTGATAATTGGTAAAGATTTAACCTTAAAGGCTTGATTTTAACTTTTTAATTAAGACATCTTGGTAGTAACAGTTATCTATTATCTCAACATACTTTAGGAATACATAATATTAAAGAAATAGACAAAATGAAAAAGCCGAATAAAATTATGATGCTGATAAAAGTAAAATAATATCTCTATATAAGTGATCTCTTAAAATTGCAGATCTTATCCTTGCACCTGCTTTTTAAAAATTTAAGCAATGTAGGTCAATATACCCTTAAAAAAATAAAAAGCAACATTTGATGCAAAGTTTCAGGTTGAAAGTGAAGCACATTTGGCTATGTCTTATGGACAAGATTTTCCTTAATATAATAATTTATTTAATTTTTGTTTGGTCTGATATGTAATGATGAAATATGCTTTCTAAGATTTCTCATGTTGAAAAGAAGATGAGAAGTAAGAGAATGGTATAAAAAAAAATCAACATCCCATGGCACTTGGCAATGGGTCCACTCCTGGCTTCAGGTATTTAGTATTCACATATCCTACAAGAATGTTCTGGGCTGGCACGGTGACTTATGCCTGTAATCCCAGCACTTTGGGAGGCTGAGGTGGGTGGATCACAAGGTCAGGAGTTTGAGACCAGCCTGGCCAACATAGTGAAACCCCGTCTCTACTAAAAATACAAAAAATTAGCCAGGCATGGTGGCACATAGCTGTAGCCCCAGCTAGTCACAAGGCTGAAGCAGGAGAATCACTTGAATCCAGGAGGCAAAGGTTGCAGTGAGCTGACATTGTGCCACTGTACTCTAGCCTGGGTGACAGAGTGAGATTCCTTCTCAAAAAAAAAAAAAAAAAAAAAAAAAAAAAAAGTTCGGGTAGAAGCAAATAATCTCTTTCCTCATCCTCTCCTTTCATTTAGTTTGTACTGATCTTTCATGTGATAAAGCTCTCCATAGAACTGTTTTTATGTCATCATTTCTACATTTTTAGGAAGAGAAAGTAAAATTCCAATGTTAGTATTCTACTCCACAAGGGCTTACTTTACTTTTTAAACTAAAGGGCCCTTAAAATAGGTCTCACATTAAGTTGATTTTATGCAAAGGGCTTAGAAACAAAACACCATCTTCTGGGAGGATGTTCAGATCCAAGGGTCGAATGACCTCGAGTCTAGTTCGATGGTGTTGTTGCTACTGTTTTGATAATTACTGGCAAGTTATGAGGTCCTAAAATGTGACCTCTCTCCTCATGATTGTCAGCTACAGTCTCAATGTTTGTGTCCCTCCAAAATTCAGATGCTGAAATGTTCACTCTCAATGGGATTTGTTAGGAGGTGGGGCCTTTGGGAGGTGATGAGGTCATAAGGATGAAGCCCTGTAAACGGGATTTATGACCTTATAAAAGGGACCCCAGAGAGCTCCCTCATCCCTTCCACCATGTGAACACACAGTGAGAAGGTGCTGTCTGTGAACCAGGAAGCAGGTCCTCACCAGAAACTGAATCAGCTATGCCTTGATATTGGACTTCCAGCCTTCAGAACTGTGAGCAATACTTTTCTATTGTTTATAAGCCACCCAGCCTATGGCATTTTGTCATAGCAGCCTTTACAGACTAAGACAGCCTGCATAGCAGATGACAGAGTATGGCCTGGTCTAGAAGAGGGAGAGTTGGGCATGAGTGAGAATGAGAAAAAGTCACTGATGGGCCAGGACAGAGTAGTACAGACCCATAACCAACCAGAATAAAGCCAGATGCCAAAAGGTGAACAAATGGGATGGAGATGTGAATGTGTGCAAAGCAGCATCACAGTCGTCAATAAAGTAGAACTGTGTTGCATACCTTCTTAGTGATCTCCCTGAGCTTATCTAGCTCACTGTTCATAGTCAAACAGATAAACTCACACGTACGTCCATGACAGATACACATCTCAGTGTATCTACATGAAGCCAGCCATGGTTTGGAGGGTTTTGGACGTTTCTATATGTTCTGTGCTCTGCAGATGAACAATAACCTCCTGAAGACTGTTGCCTATGAACGCAGCAATGCGTTTACTGAGGAGCTGCATTACCAACCTGAGAGTCTTGTTTCCATAGCACCCAGGATCTCCAATGCCAAGGTCGTCAGCCATCACCAGGATGATGTTCGGCCTTGATGCTGCATGGCTCTCAGCTTCCCACAGAAAGAACAGTAGGAGGAAAGGGATCTTCATCTTCCTGTAAAGGAAAAGGACACAAAAAGGAATTGAAGGGTGCTGACTCATGGTTGGCTGTGACCCTCCTCCTTTCAGACCCCCATCCCTCCTTGCACATTTCTGGAGCAGCCATTCTTAAAACTTGCCTTTGCCATACAATATGTGCTTGAAAGACACTTGTCTAAGAGGTTCCTAGACAAAGAATGTTATCCTCTCTTTCCCAGGTGCTTGTGTCCAAGCCACGTCGATGTGGTTTGGCTATATCCCTACCCAAATCTCATCCTGAATTCCCACAGGTTGTGGGAAGGACCTGGTGGGAGGTAACTGAATCATGGGTGCAGGTCTTTCCCATGCTGTTCTCGTGATAGTGAATAAGTCTCATGAGATCTGATGGTTGTATAAGAAGGAGTTTCCCCGTACAAGCTCTCTTTGCCTGATGCCATCCATGTAAGACGTGACTTGATCCTCCTTGCTTTCTGCCATAATTGTGAGGGCTCCCAACCAAGTAGAAATGTTAATTCCATTAAATCTCTTTCTTTTGGAAATTGCCCAGTTTCAGGTATGTCTTTATCAGCAGCATGAGAACAAATTAATACACACACATTTCCTTCTCAATGATTAGTTATGGCCTCTCCTTTCTCCCTTGACCAAAACAGAGGTGCTCTTTAGAAAAATAATAACATAATCACTTCCCGTGATCTCTTTATTGAAAGTGAGCTCTGTCATAAGCGAAACCTTCTCTCTTTGAGTGTTAGAAACACAGGTGCTTTGTGAAGTTCCCATTTTCAATGTTTTATCCTTTCTAAAATTAATGATGAGCTTTGGTTTAGTAGCTATTTTTATATTTGAGATAAGGTTTTGCTCTGTTGTCCAGGCTGGGGTAAGGTGGTATGATCTTAGCTCACTGTAACCTTGAAGTCCTGGACTCAAGTGATCCTCCTGCCTCAACCACCCAAGTACCTGGGACTATAGGCATGTGCCATCACACCCAGCTAATTTTTGTATTTTTTGTAGAGATATGGCCTTGCTATGTTGCCCAGGCTGGTCTCTTAACTTCCGGGCTCAAACATCCTCCTGCCTCAGCCTGACAAAGTGCTAAGATTACAGGCCTGAACCATAGTGCCTGCTCCAGTTTAGTAGCTTTTTAAGTGAAACATAGAAACCTTTCGAAATTCAAAGTGCACAGGGCCAACGGCCTGGGGCATCTCTTTGTGTCAGAATACAGAGGGAAGAGAATTTATCCATTGTCCATGTCTGCCATCCCAACATGCTTTCAACTCATTGCATTTCATTCCTTGTGAGAGTAACAGGTGAAGGCATCTTTGGGGAGAATGGTGGCTTGAACACATACACGATGCCTTTCTTGTATGGAGGTCTGTGTATGTGTTCCACCAGCCTGTCTTCCTTTGAGTTAGACCCCCTCTTGTTGAGGAGGACGTGGGCTTGCTATTTCATTTTGCTATTTGCCTCTCTTCTCACTCCTGCGGTTTTGTAGCCCCACCCTGTAGCGGGTTCTCCATTTAGAACCAGAGCTTATGTTGGCAGCAAATATGAGGAGGTTGCGCAACAGGTTTCCCAGCAGAGAGAAGCCTGGCTTGGTTTCCTGGAAGGTGGCAGGTAAGTGTGCAGTGTGGTAGCCCCAGGTCTTACTTACTCAATATCAATGTCCTTCTAGACTTCCCATGAGCAGTGGTAGGCAACACCTCTCCCAGCCCCTGGTTCATAGCCCTGAGCCAGGTTCTTACTCTCAAATACTTCCAGAGCCAAGTCCCTGTGGCTCTGACTCTGATATCAGGAGACAGAACTCATTACTTTCTCTTTCTGTTTCTCATCTGCCCAGGGAGAAATTTTTATACTTTATTTTTCTCATTGGCCCGGGGAGAAATTTTATGACTTTTACTTTAGGTTGGAGGTTGGGAATAGGTGTTAATCATATCAGTTCTCCAAATCTCAGCTTTCTTAACTGTAAAGTGAAAGAAATTGAACAATTTTTTTGTTCCATTAAGTAATTTTATTTTTATTTTAAAAAATTGAGATAGGGCTCTGGCTCTGTTGCTCAGGTTGGAGTGCAGTGGTGTGATTATAACTCACTGTAGCCTCCGACTCCTGGGCTCAAATGATTCTCCCATCTCAGCCTACTGAGCAGCTAGAATTACAGGTGCACAGTGCCATGCCTGGGTAATATTTTATTATTATTACTTTTTAAAGATGAGGGTCTTACTATGTTGTCCAAGCTAGTCTTGAACTTTTGGGCTCAAATGATCCTCACACATCAGGCTCCTGAGTAGTTGGGAGGATGTTGAGCACCACCTGGCCTGGCTAATTCTTTTTTTTTTTTTCAATTTTTATTGAGGAGATAGGATATTGCTATGTTGCCCAGGCTGGTCTCAAGCTCTTGGGCTCAAGTGATCCTCCTGCCTTGGCCTCTCAAAGCACTGGAATTATAGGCACGAACCACCATGCTCTGCCTACTTTTATTTACTTTTAATTTTAAAAAATGTTTATAGATTTAGTGGGTACAGTGCAGATGTCTTACATGCATATGTAGTGGTGGAGTCTGGGCTTTTAGTTTACCTATCTGTTCTATCCTGACACCTGACTCTCATTGCTGTATATCTGGAACACTGATGGTCCTTCAGCGTGTGAACTGGCATTGGGCTTGACCTCACTCGGCATCTGCTCTTGCACTCACACCAGCCTTGCTGCATGTGAACAGCTCCCCTAGAGTCACTGAGGAAAGTGGGCATGAAGGCCAGTGCACAAGGTGTGGCAGAACCTCTTCCCTGGCCTTACAGCAACACTGGTCAGAGTGAGCTGTTCCCTTACTGAGGAATGCACTCCTCTTTGAACACCCTCCTTGAGTTTCCTGTTGTGTTCCTCTTTCTGCAGAGTCTCTATTTGCTTGTTTTTCCTCATTCATGAACCTCAGAATCAGGATCACAACCCCACATAATTATAGAGGCTGGATAGGAGATGGGAAATGGCCTGGGTTTAGCCATCAATATGGGGAGGGGGCTTTGCCAGCCGAGAGCTTGCACCCCTCCTAAATAATGTCACCCCTATAGCAGCTTCCAATTTTTAAAGAGAAGATAGACACACACATTTGCATGTGCAGTTATATGACCATCAATTTAATTATTTAAACAAACGTTAGGCTAACTTCATGCAAAATAGTCAAAGAAACAATCAAACAATGACTAAATATATTTACTGGCCTGGCGCCACTTCTGAGTGTCCATTGTCCAGTCTGTACTTTAAATGTTGTGAGCCTCAAGACACTTTCTGCTTTCCTGATCTCCTCCCTACCTTTATGAAAGACACACGTTGTCTTGGTGAGATTAAATACTGAATGAATGCTTAGAAACACCTAAGTTTTATGTCCAGAGAGACTACATCCAAGCGTGAATTAAGGTCTCCATACAGATATCCATCTGGTATCTTGAATTTAACATGCTCAAACAGAGATCATGAATGTAGAAAGCACCCTGCTATTATTATGTGAAACCATTTTTGTCATTTAGTCTAAAGGTCCCCACTTTTGTTTAATCTGCTTAAATGCTAAATACAGATAAAGCTGATGAAATGTAACTTCTTACTGAATTTCTCATGTAAGACTGCATGAAATAATCCAGTTATACAATGCCCTCGTGCCAAAGACCTTGTCTATCTTAATGCTTAAGCTAATATTTATGCTTGGAAAGAAATGAGAAACTGCCTATTTCTTTTTTTTTTTTTTTTGTAAAGGATGGTTTAAGACTATTGGCTTTACATAGCCAAAACCTGGCATGAATTTAAAGCCTGGCTTGAGAGCATATCACAACATTCAGATAATATAATTTCAGTTTAAAAAGGTCTTGTGAATCAAACATCTCAATTCTCTTATTTTCAGATAGGGAAACAAAGACCCAGAGAGACTGGCTGGTCATGGTGGCTCACACCTATATTCCCAGTGCTTTATGAGGCCAAGGAGGGAGGACTGATGGAATGCAGGAATTTGAGACCAGCCTGGGAAATATGTAAGTTCCTATCTCTACAAAAAAAAATTTAAAAATATCTGGGCATTGTGTGCACATCTGTAGTTCTGGCTACTCAGGAGGCTGAGACAGGAGAATTGCTTGAGCCCAGGAGTTCGAGACTGCAGTGAGCTCTGATGGTGTCACTATACTCTGATTTGGTTAAGAGTTAACCAAGGTTAATTAGAGACGCTCTCTAATTAATTAATTAATTAAAGAATACAGACTTTATACACTAAAACCTGGCATAAATGTAAAGCCTGGCTTGAGATCATATAACAACATTCAGATAATAATCAGGTAATACAATATCAGTTAGAGAAGACCATGCAAATCATGTATCCCAAGTCTCTTACTTGCAGAAGGGAAAACAAAGAGCCAGAGAGATTCAATGAATTACCCTAGTCATACTCATAGCAAGCTGTGGTTTCTAGACTAGCACCCAGGACTCCTTATGGCTCTTCTCTCTCAGATTATCCCTGGAACCCAGTATTTCTAGGGCTTTTCAGCATTCCACATGGTGGAGACTTCAGTGCTTTTCAAATTCCTCCCAGCAGTTCCCTTGGCTACTGAATAATGCCTATCATTTTCCAGGGCTCTATAGTGATGCCTCCTATTCCTGCTGATAGAAACAGGTCCTATCTAAAGGACCTCATAGCTGCTGCCCACCCAGTCTGAGTCCCACCACTGGTGGCTGATGATGAGAATAGTGAGCACTGATACATGGGCTCTGGGGCTCAACATTGCTAAAGGCCCTACTGCTGCCTGCTGCCTGGCTCCTGCACTGGTCACTCCTGAAGCTGCCAGCTATATGCTATGATGCCCGAAGCTCCTAATATTCCATGTAGATTTCAGTAAATGCACACTTCACTTTTTTCTCCCTTGGATTAACCTACTACTGCTTGGTACCTGAGGTTTAGGTAGACTTCCCTATTGAATATTGAATGGACATGGGTCTGAATGTCAACCCATTTCTCTAATGCGGGCTCCCGGCTGTGGCCCATACTGC